CGGGTCCTGCAGGTCTCAGGACAGAAGTCACTGAGGCTATGCTCCAGCTCACTGTCCCTTGCACTCCTGTTTCAGGGCTGCAAAGCTGGTCCCCAGGGAAGTGAGGTTAGCAGCTGTGACCTTGCTGGAGGGACCACTGCCAGCTGACCTTTGGTGGGGTTGTGACACTCTGCTGTCACCTTTAGACCTTTCTGTGTTGCTCGTCTCTGCTGGGCACTGCTGCCGGCCTGGGCATGGCATACTGGCTTCCCCAGTGGGAAGGTGGAGCACTGACTTCCCTCCGTGTGTTTGTGTGGCAATGCGGGACGTACTTTGTGGGATTTCTTGATCCAAGGGTAATGAACAGACCTGCAAAGGAAACACGGGGACCTGACTGCTCATGTAAATTCCTCATGTGTGAATTAAAAGCAGAGACAAAAGAGTGTAGCAGTATATCTCCATACGTTGAGGCTCATGGCTGCTTTGGGGCATAATTTTGAAAGAGTTCTTTGATACTTCTGTTGGAATCACTGAATGCTCTATTGATTTGAAACCATATGGCTATAAATAAAAACTTTCTTTTCAAAATCTTAGAGGAGAAAGGAACTTGGAAAGGTCACTGATTTTGTTGCCATGGGACAGGAACTTTCCAGATAGACAAGGTCTCTGGAGAAGAGGTCGAAGCATCTGTCCGGTCCCGTTTGCGGTGATCATCAGGAGCTGGTCATTAGGAGCACTTTTCTGTTTCACCCAGAAAAACCTGAGTTTACTCAACAAATGAGTCTTCAAACACAAAACTTTGAAAAGAGAAATTCTGTCTTCATTCAACAAGAATAATTACTAATTCTTAGAGGGAGAGGAGAAGCCTAACCTCATACCAGTCATTGGACCTTAACAGGCAAATGGACTATTTCCCAGTCTTTAAATATGAAAAATACTAAAAAGTTTTCCTTGTGAGCTTGGAATTTCAAAGAGGATCTCTTTGGAAAGTTGGCAAATACTTTCCTGGCATGAAGACTGGTTTTTCTTTTTTTTTTTTTTTTTTCCTTTTCCCCTCCACCCAAAGCTGTGACAGGGTGGAGTATACTTCCATGAAATTGCATGTTTCCAAAATAGGATTCACGGTTATATTCTACTGCTGGTATAATTGAATCTCAAATCAAAACTGAGCAGAACCCAAGCATTCTAAAAATAGAATTGCGGCTCATATTCCCGACTCTCTTCTTCCTATGGGATACAGTTTTGATATTTCACGAAAGTGCCTTTTGTGTAGAAGTGTCCCCACCAGCCCATTTCCACAGCAGTCTGAGTTTCGTCCTTGGTTCTACAGACTGACCTCGTATGCGTCTAAGTCAGTCTCGTGTGGCAAGAGCAGTGTGTCATTACTGCTGCCCACGTTCCCTTGTCATCTGGGTGCCTTCCAGGAGAGAGCTCGGCTTTCTTCAGCGCCAGGGTTCCTGTCCCGAACGCCCCACATCCATGGCCAGGAGCTGCGTGAGAGGGGAGCAGGATTCACTGTACCCTCGCTCAGGATGGACCTGGAGTCGGGCTTGCTCATGCGTGCAAGATGAAAGCTGGGAGCCGCAGGCCAAGGAAACCTAGAGCTATGGTTTACCAGACCCTGTGGGATAGTTGATGGGTGGTCTAGTTCTGAGGGAGTCCACTAGTAGATAAATAATCTTTGGTGATCACTTCCCCTCCAATGTGAAGTCTAAAACGGGTGTAGCTCTGGCCAATAACACCAGGGTAAGCTCTTCCCAGATTTTATTCCCTGTTTCTTAAACATTGAACCCTGAGATGGGGCATTTGGGAAATGTGGCAGGGGTCCCAAGAGGGACACGTGGTCCTGAATGGCAGAGACGGCCTTCACTTTCCCTGGGAGGACCCCAGCGGCCAGCAGACCAAAGCTTACAGGAAGTGCTTAGTAAGCACAGTACGTACTGTACTGCTATCCACCCATCTCCCTGGCTTGTAGAGCAGAAAAGAAGTGGAAAATACCCAGGACGTTTGCTAGGATGAGGTGATCTTTCACCATCCTTTTTGACCTTGAGATCTTGTTTCCTGGGGTGCTGAGTGTTGAGAACCCCCTTGCACCTTTCTCAGGAAGCTTTATGATTCCTTCCAGTCTTGGGATTCTACTTTTGGATTCTTGGGGGCAGGGGTTGTTTGTTTGTTTGTTTGTTTGAGAAATCCTTTGACTTCATGGAAGCAAAGCACAATGGGACCCTCAAGCAGTACCCAGGATGAAGTGAATGCTTTTCTTGTTGCTCTTTTGTTCTTGTACCCTGAGCTTTGAAAGTAAGGTCTTCAGATGTGAAGTGGCTCACCTTCAAAGATGTACCCGCTTTCACAAGGAACTCTTGGCACTTAAAAGAGGTTTTAATAACTCGAGGACCCCCTTCCTTGGCTGGATTTCTGCTGTGTAAGAACGGAGGAGGTTACAGACATGAAAGGTCCTCCACAAAAGGCTCCCAGGCTGTTCCCCAAGGCTCTTGAAGAGCAGGTTACCTTGCATAAATGAGGGGGCCTTTTCCTGTTCCTTGAGAGCTGGCCTAGGACGCAAAGGGGAGTCAGAGAAAGCAAGAATCAGGAACCAGGCTGGGGCAGTGCCCAGGTGGCAGAGAACGCTGAGAACTGTGGAAGGAAGGGTGTGGTGTGCGAGCAGGAAGTAGGAGGAGCAGTCTTCCGGGCAGGATCCATGTCCCCCTTCTGAAGGTTGACCCAGGGGCCTCCCAGGAGATGCAGTAATACTGTGCATCATGAATTTGTTTTTCAACACGGATCTTTCATTTATTTCAAGTAATACAAAGTTGTGCTCGGAGTTGTCAGAGTGCACGCTCCTCGAAGCAGAGCCCTGCTTTTGTAAAACCTGTTCGTTGGAGCCCTGGTTGCTGAAGGCAGTTGAGGAAGCTGCGATCGGTGGCTGTGGCTGGTTCTGCTTCCTGTCCTTTCTGTCCCAGGACTTCCTCAAGTGCACAGGAGAAGCAAAAGTGGGAAGAGATTTTCGCAGCTTGTTTTACTATAGCAATTTAAAATGCTTTTGATTTTTAAAATTTACTCTTGTACTGCACCTTCAAATTCATATGAAACTGTTGCTTCCACATTTTTATTTATATGGATTCTCTCCTATGACAATGAAGAGATAGGTCGTGATTTCGCTTTTCCTGCTGTGGTGTGGTATTACCAAAAATTTCCCTTAAAAACAGTTAGTACACCACAGGAAGTGGCTTTGGTTTCCTAGGGTTTTAGAAATGGTCCTACCTGGTGCTTCTGCCTTTACAGTTCATGTACATTCAGAAAGAGTAGAAGTGCCCTTCATAACCAGCAAAGGGCTTTGGTCCCTGAGTTCCTACATGTGACCTGTCTTCTTGTTTGTGGGGACTTAGCCCCTTAAAGGAATCATGAATCTAAGGGCGCTGGGCTGAGATCAGAGTTCCCCGTGGCCCCAGCTTGGATGAGGGGGCACAAAGGTTTTCTGCGCACACCAGGGACCGGCCTCTGAAAATCATTGCAGACATTTGTCACACTCATTCATTAATGCCACCCAGTGGTGAGGAGAGGGAGTACGATGACTGGCCAGCAGTGAAGCTGGGAAATTGATTATGAACTTGTCAGATGGGAGACCAGGGGAGGGCAGGAGAAAAAGGTTATTTTTCTGTTCTCCATTAAGTTTCATGAACATGGATTTTTCGATGACTTCCAGTGTTTGCCCTTCTGATGCGAGTCTGGATTTTTCTCACCAAGGCTTGATGTCTTTGTGTTGTCCTGTAGACCCAAGAGGAAAGAAGGGAGCGAGGGCTGGGTGAGGTGTGTGGAATAGTTTGAATTGCCTGTGCCCAGGAAAGCTGGGCTTTGGTCATCTCTGGTTTTCCTCGATTGAGATGTTAAAGTTATATTGAAATAAGCATTACAGTTACCGGATGAATTGTCAGCATTAGCCAAGAAGTAATTCTGGGCAGATGTGACTTAAAGAGGTAACTGATTTGTAAGGGCGTGGTCAGAGGATGTGATGTCCTAGGAGGAAATGTATGTGGTGAGGAGATTTCTAAATGTTTAGAGCACTATAAGGTTACAGTTTTTTTTGTTAAGGAAGCAGTACTCTGTGGTCAGAAGCTTTATGCTGTGTGTGGGCACACTCAGCCTGCATTTTGCTGGTAGGAGCTGTATTGCAGGGGAGAAAGTTGCATTCAATCAGATTTTGAGGAGCCACAGATATGTAAGGTGAAGCCTCACTCTGAAAAGCGGTATCAAGCAAATGCAAAGGAATTGAAATTGTGCCATGTATATTATCAGACCATAGTGTAGTGAAATTGGAAATCAGTGGCAAAAGAAACCACAAGAACTTCATTAACACATGGAAATTAAATAGCACCCTCCTGAACAACCAGTGGGTCACAGATGAAATTAAAGAAGAAATTAGACAGTTTCTACAATTAAATGACAATGACAGCACAACATACCAGAACTTATGGGACACAGTGAAAGCAGCCCTAAGAGGGAGATTTGTAGCAGTGAACACCCATATCAGGAAAACAGAGCGAGCACAAATGATAAGCTGTATCCTATCCATTAGCACAATTCCAAATTATTTGCGATCTGCTCTACCAAACTTCCGCATTTCAAAGATGGCACATTTCTAGAATTTATTCGGGACATGCACACTGGTGAGTGGAGCTTTGGCTGTGACGTCATCCTTTGTGTGCAGATTCAAAAGAGTGATTTCCTTCGCGGTCTTCGTTAGGTAAAACTGGTCCTTAGCAGTAGTCCTCCTGCTGGTCCACAAGCAAGTGGTTAGACGAATGCACTGTCAAACACAGAATGACAGGAGTGGCACCTGTGACATCGGACAAAGACAAACTCGTCACAGGTCACTTTCCATCTTGCATAAAGATGACCCTTGTCAGCACCACTGTGTATCTTGCTTTGCACGCTGGGTTTTGCACCCAGAGATGTGTATGTTACAGAAGCATGTTCCAGGCACGTGTATTACAGGATGTTTCTTCTTCTCTTCCCCCGAACAGATATCAGTATTACCTGCAAGTCAAAAAAGACGTGCTTGAAGGGCGGTTGCGGTGTACCTTGGAACAGGTGATCCGGCTGGCCGGTTTAGCGGTGCAAGGTAAGACAGTCATGACCAGCATGTGGCATTCTACTTCCGGATGAGCATGGTGCTGCTGGCTTCTCCTAGTGGAAAGTTACATGTGCTTAAATCACCCTTTGAGAATGGTCCATTATTATTTTAGATATCTTACATTAAGATGAAAAATGAGTGATTTGGGGTGGAAGAGTAGTGGATTTCTCAAAGCTGTTTGCCAACGGCTTGTGTTGGTATTTGAAGGAATAGCAGCCTTTTCTCCTGCCTTTAATGAAAGCTACACTTCAGAGTTTGTGGAATATTTTCTCAGGATTATTCCACTGCACATGTGGCCGTGATCTGTGGCTTGATGGTAGAAATGTGCTACTATCACAGCTTCTGGTGCAATAGCTTTGACCATTGTTGCAGAATTTATTCGGGTACAGTTGGAGATAAATTTGAAATCCACAATGGTAATGTGAAACAACAAATATATGCTTCAATAAATTTGTATTTCAACTGCCCTATTTGGATTATCAGCTGGCTATTTTATTTACCTTCTCTGTTATGTATAGGTGTGTGTATGTGTGTGTGTGTGTTTGTGTGTGTTTGTGTGTTATTTGTTGAGTGGTGGCTTAAATGCCATCAGTCATATTGCATACAAGCTAGAAATACGGTTTTGACAGGGAGTCCTTATTTTTTTGAAATCTAGCTCGTGTCCAGGTGTGAGCCCGCCAGCAGCTGAGTTCTTGCTGTGTGGACTACTGGTTTAGAAACTGCAAAGTGAGCTTCCCTCCTCACGCTCTGAACTGAGGATGCGCCTTTTGGGTTCTAAATATCCGTGAACTCACCCTTCCCTTGGCCTCTTTCTCCCCGGGTGATTCGTTGCATGGCAGTGTTTGTTGGCCGTACTGTGCCTGTAGAGTTAGCTCCCACTGTTACTCTGTGAAATGACAAAACCTGTTGTATCACATCTGTCTACTTGGTGACTGGAAAGGGAAGAATCCGGGGCTGGTTTTCATAGAAATAGCACTGGCAGCATCATTAAAAAGGTAGCGCACCTGTCTTTCATAGAGGAGCGAGAAGATCCACTATATGCCCCATCTTCAAATCAGACCCTTCTTTCGAAAAGCTTTGATTGAATGACGCATCAGAAATACACGCTGTGATGGAAGGTGATAACTGCTGATTGAACTTGAAAATAGAAGAGTGGGTCAGTGTTGTCTGTTTTGGTTTTTGAGACAGGGTCTCTCTATGTAGCCCAGACTGGCCTCAAACTCATAGCAGTTCTCCTTCCTCAGCCTCCCGAATGCTGGGATCGCAGGCGAGCGCCACCACTCCCCGCTGGCTTTTGCTCTTCTTGATTGCTGTACCTACTTGATAATTAGTTAAGCGCTACTGGTACACTTGTAGGTCCATCTTCGCTGTCTCCGCGAATTCTCTGTGTTGACCTTGGTGTGTGTGTGTAGCTTTCCATTCTACAGCTGTTCTTACCTCTCAGATACCGTAATCCACGTCTGTTAGGGGCCGAATCTGTAACATGAAATCGGGAGTCCATGTCTCCATCTTGCATGTGCTCCCGCAGGCCCTTGTGAGGTGAAAACTGGGCTGAGCAGACTTTCTGGCATCTTGCAACATGTGAAGTTGTTTAGGAGGTGTGAAGATGTCCGAGGTTGCTTGCCAGCAGTGATTTACAGTGGGAATTTCCAGCTGCAGATATAGGAACAGACACGGATTGGTTTGGCCCTGCACTTTTCCAAATTAACCTCAAGTTAAAAAATCCCCTTGGCAGAGATCTTAAGAGATGGATCGAGGCACATTCTACAAAGAGAAATACAGGTTTGTTTTAAAATCTTAAAGTAGCCTTCAGGAATGGCTTCCATATTTCTCTATTCTTTCCAAAAACTGTGTAGCGGTGTCCACCTACTGATATTTAGCATTGCTGGGTAAAGGTAGTAACTACATCGAACAGGTCTTTGGCGCTATTTTTATATAATAGTGGCGCAGAAATAGGATGAAGAAGGAATATGGTGTGTGGTGACAGGTTTACCCTATTTTATTCCAGCTTTAATAACTGTGTAATAACAGTGACCCTTCCCCCGTTCTCTTCTCAGCTGACTTTGGAGACTATAACCAATTTGATTCTCAAGATTTCCTCCGAGAGTATGTGCTCTTTCCTATGGTAAGTGCAACTTCTTTTTTTCTGAATGTTCTGCCTTCTTTGTACATTTCATTCTTTCCTCTGAAAATGTCAGAGAATGTTACATGCACAGCATGTTCCCTCAGGAGGGGTCCACACATTTGTACAGTAGAGACAAGTTTTACAAAACACACTGAGAAAGTAAAGACGCCCCTTTCTGTCCCAAGACACTTCTCTGATTTCTTTTTCAGATGAAATAGTTCCTTGTTGGAGTATAGAGATGCCGCTTGTTTTGGTGTAGCTTTTATAACTTGCCACTTTACTGAATTTGTTTATCAATTCTGACAATTTTTGGTGGAGTCTCTGAGAGCTTTTTATATATAAAATTATATAGTTGGAAAACAGAAACAATTTTATTTCTTCCTTTCCTATTTTTATGGTGTTTATTTCTTTTTCTTGCCCAGCTGTTCTGGCTGGGGCTTCCAGTACTGTGTTGAGTAGGCGTGGTGAGTGGACTGGGATGTAGCTCAGAGTAGAGCACTTGTGTAGTGCGTATGAAGTGCTGGGATCAGTCCCCAGCACTGGGAAACAAACAAATAAACAAACACCCTCAGGAGTAAGTACATTTAGTGAGCCGGAAAAATTATATATTGAACCCATGTTTATAGCAGTACTAGTTGTCATAGCTAAATCTTGAAAACAACCCAAATACTCATCAACTGAGGAATGGCTAAAAAAGATATGGTATTTTTATACAACGGAGTATTACTCAGCTATTAAAAAAGATAAACTCAAGGCTTTCATAGGTAGATGGGTGCAACTATAGACCATACCCATAAGTGAAATAAATCAGACCCACATGTGTAAACATTGTATTGTCTCCTTAGTGTAAGAAGTAAATAAAATCTGAAAGGTACAGTAGATACTGTTAAAGGGAAAGGAGTTGCTCAAAGGGAAGGAACAACAGGGATAAAGAAAAGGAGAAAAGAAAGATGGAAGAAAAAAATATATATAAGGATAACTGGGATAATTGTACTGCTGATGTCTATTGGTTTATTGAAAGGAATAGTTAATGCTTAAATTTTTCTTGTTCTGACCAATTTTGCATGATTATATCTGGTAATCTGAACAACTAATTTGAAGGCAACAATGTGTAATATAACAACCATTGTTGAATCCCTACTATCTTGATTAGTGAAACTCTGTATCATTTCTAATTTTTTATAACTTTTTATTCTCTTTAATTGTTTGATCAATATTGCATTCTTACATCTCGTAACATGAGCAACTTCGTTGAAGATAACAATATATAATATAACAACCATTGTTAACTTCCTGTCACCTTGATTTAAAATTCCGTATTGCTGAGGATTTAGCTCAGCGGCACAGCGCCTGCCTGGCAAGCGTGAGGTCATGAGTTTGATCCCTGGTACCGGAAAAAAAAAAGACAACAACAAAAAAAATAAAATTCTGTATCGTTTTTACGTTTTTGTATTGTTTTGTTTTTGTTTTGGTGGTTGTTATTTTGTTCTCTTTTCTCTTTAAAATAAAACAAACAAAAATTATGTGTTGAAAACTGTAAAAGATTCACGAAAGCAGTTGAGATAACACAAATGGCAAGATATCTGGTGTTCACAGGTTAGAAGAATCAGTGTTGTAAAAATGTCCATGCTACTCACAGAAATCTCCAGGTTTAATTCAGTCCCCCTTAAAATTCCAATATGAGAAATAGAAGAAATAGTACTGAAATTCATAATGAACCATAAAAGACCCCAAAGAGCTAAAGTCATCTTGAGCAGAAATGACAAAGCTAGAGGATCGCACTGCCCAACACGAAACTGTGTTGTAAAGCTCTTCTCATTAAAACAGGATGGCACTGGGCACAGACATGAAAGCAGACAGTTAACCATTCAGATAGAAGAGGAAGCTGAAAAATAAATCCACACAGCTGTGATCAGTTGGTTTTTTTTTTTTTATTAAAAAAGAGGGCAGGAATACACAATCAGGAAAGATCAGCCTCTTCAGTAAATAGTGTTGGGAAAACTGGCTGTCCGCACGGAAGGAGTGAGATCAGGCTGCTCTCTCACCCTTTATGCATGAATCAACTCCACATGTGTTGAAGACTTTGGGACCAGACTCGAAACTGTGAAACTGCCCAAAGAAAACCGGAGGAGCTATATACACATTGGTCCAGGCAACAGTTTCTTGCCTATGACCCCAAAGTACTGGTAACAAAAAAAAAAATGAGGTTACCTCAAGCTAAAGTTTCTACACAGCAAAGAGAATAATTAAGAGCAAAGAGACAACTCACAGATTGGGAGGAAGTATTTGCAAATCATACCTCAGCTCATGCCTTAGATAAGGGCCATGTATCTGAAATATATAAGGAACTCACTCACTGCTCATGGAGGGGAAGACAAACAGCTCTGTTTAAAAATGGGCCAAGGACCTGAATAGACATTTCTCTAAAGAAGACCTACAGAAAACTCACCAGATGCATGGAAAATCGTCAACTGTAGTCCGCAGTGGGACGTCGCCTCGTGTCTGTCAGGACAGCTGTTAACCAGAAGAAGAAAAAACAAGTGTGGGTGAAGCTATGGGGAAGGGGGCGCCTTGACCCATACTTGGTGAGGATTTACATTAGCATAGACACGAGCAAAACAGTATAGAAGTTCCTCGGAAGAAAAACAAAACTAAAAATAGAATTACCACAGGATCTAGATGTCTCGCTTCTGGATATATATGAATTACAATATATACATTTGAAAGAATTACAATAAACTTGTCAAAAAGATACCTATACTCTCATGCTCATTGTAGCAGTATTCACCGTAGCCAAGATACGGAAACAACTAAATTCCCACCAGCAGATGAATGGATATATGTAGTACTTGTGAGGTGTGTGTATGAATACTTTCAGCCTTTAGAAAGAATAAAATCCTATCATCTGCACACTGTCGATGACTCTAGAGGCCGTTCTGGCACAGAAGGTAGGTGTTGCCTGGTGTCCCTTACACATGGAGTCTGAAGCTTCAAGCTCATGCAAGTAGAATGGTGGTTGCCGACGATGGGACAGGCCAGGGGCAGGGGACGTGCTGTCGAAGGGCACCAGGCTTCAGTTCGACAGGTGGCGTGAGCTCTGGTGATCCGTGGCACAGCCTGGTGGCCGGGCTTCAGGATGGTGTGCATTTCAAAATTGCTGCCCTGGCGGAGTGTAGATGTTCTTGCTGCAAAGAAAGGGCAAGTATGTAAGAGCACCGAGTGTCGCTTAGCTGATTTGCCCTTTGCAGCAGTGCTCACACTTTACCAGAGTGTCACGTGGTGCCTCATAGATACATACGATTGTTATCAGTGAACATAGTAAGATGAGAAGAAGGCACTTCTCCGCTGGGTGCTCCCAGCTCCCTGCGCTCCAGCCCCTGGCTTGGCTGCTTTGGGAACGTGCTGATCCCCGTCCTAGCCCGGACCCCTTGTGCCTGGTGTCCCCTGGGTGCCACAGCAATGGCCCTGGTCTTTCTGTTGCAGAGATCCCTGTTTAGGTGTCTCTCTTTCTTTGACAGCCTGCCTATGCAATACATGCTAACCACCACATATGTGTGTGTGTGTGTGTGTGTGTGTGTGTGTGTGCAGTGTGCATGTGCACTCGAGGGCCCCTTCAGTGTGTGAAATGTTCACTTTCAAATGTCTCTTTCTCCCGCCAACCTGGTGGTCCTTCAGCAGGGCCCGGCCTGCCTTGCACACGACTGTGGGGCACAGGGCTTGTGTGGGGTGCGTGAGTGACGTAAAATGCCTCTTCCCAGGCTGACTCAGGGGTGAGCCCAGGTTAGAGTCCTGGGGAAGATTTGCTGGTTTCTGGGTTGGCGGCACGACGGTTTGAGAGGAAGCCTGGGGAAGCGGGCACAGGCGCGTGGAAAGAGCAGCACCCAGCCGGCATGCTGGCGCAAGTTCTAGAGCTCATCGGCATCACCGCTGACGTCTTCTGGAGCAACTGTTTTGCGCAGCACACCGGCCTGGGTCACTAACCCCGAGGGGTGGAGTTGTACAAGCGGCGGTGCGTGTTTTCAAGGAGACTGCAGCCAGGGTGGGCGATTAGGAAGTTTGCAAGATCAGGCCGCTGTGCCAAGTGTAATAAAGCACAATCAGGATTTCACTTGGCAGATGCCACATGCTTGGGGACGAAGGAGGCTTCCGGGCTACAGAGCGTAGGCTGTGGCCCACAGGACAGCGGACTGCGAGGGGCAGCGGGGGAAGGGAGGCAGGGCCGGTCCAGACGGGAGAGGCGAGGCCAGTTTTGCTGTAGCTTGGTTTGGGGCTCCAGGGGATTGTGGGGGTTGAAACTTCTGAAGCATTAGAATGCCTGGGCTCCCCCAGCACCTTCGCATGGAGCAGGAATCATTTTGTAGGAGGAGGCGAGGCTGGGGAGCTCTGCTGCACGGACGTCTGGGCAGAAGACAGAAGGTGCAAGCAGTGAGGTAAACGGGAAGGCAAAGCCGAAGTTTGGAAATAAAATAGGCAAAACCTGGCCTCTTATCCCTCACAAGGGTGTCTGGTGACATTTTCAGGTATTTATTTTTTGGAAAAGTGTTTTTGTGATACTGGGGATCGGACCCAGGGCACATACTCAACGACACCCCCAGCCCCCGATCCTAAAGTTTTTTTTGGGACAGAATCTTGCTACACCAAGTGGGACTCAGCCTGTAATCTGTCTTCCTCAGACGCAGGAAGTGCTGGGATCACAGCTGTGTGTCACTGCACCTGGCATGAAAGTTTATTTTTATACTTCTGTAAGTGTTCGCCCAGCATTCACAACCAACATGGTGCCGCTTCTGTGGTGGTTTATCTGGTGGATGACCCGTGGGGTCCCTGTAATTGTTTCCTGTTTTGTTTTTTGAGACAGGGTCTTGCTATGTAGCTCAGGCTGGCCTTGAACTCACTGCATAGCCCAGGCTGGTCTCAACTCTTGGCAACCCTCTGCCTCTGCCTCCTGAGCGCTGGGACAGGTGTGCGCCACCACACCTGGCTGTAATTGTTTTCTTCCTGAAGTTTTCCCTTGTCTTCAGTTTCATCTTGACTTTTGACCGTGCTTCTGTCCTTTCAGTGACTGAGGTGTTGACGTGAAAGCAATCCTTTCCAAGCAGTGGCTTGCCAAGTAGTGTGAAGTTGGCCATCCTGGCCACCAGCACCTTCTCCAAGGCAGCCCGCTCTCCTTTTATCAGTTGTCAATTAAAGTCAGGTCCTCTGAGGTCACCTTTACTGGTGGCTGGCACAGTGCCTGATGGCACAGAGCCGGCTGTCCTGCCCAGGATGATCTCTCCCAGGCCCCCCTACACCCCGTATATGGTGTGTGGTCTCCTCACCTGCATGGGACAGGGCAGTTTCTGGCCAGCATGGTGAACTTAGGGATGCCTTAGGAATGTGTCCTCATGCATATGAATACTCTGCGAACTGCACCTTTGGGAAGCAGACCAAAGGGAAGCCATCAGAGCCTAGTCTGCTGCTAACCTTCTGGCAGTCAAGGCCAGACACAGATAGGTGTTAAGTTTTGAGCAACCAGAACGAGTAAGACAGAGTTACTGTCCATATTAGTATGTGGGGCGGATTTAATTGGACCAAAGCTCGCCGTGTTCTCAGAGGTTAGGGAAATACTGCAAATCTCTTACCTTTTCAGTTTTCTGCCATGTGGGCTGTTTCTGATGCCTTGCTAATTCTACCCATGCCATCAACTTGCGTGCAGGGAGACGAGCCGATGACACAAGCACTGCCTGATGGGGTTGAGTGTCAGTGAAGTTGCACCAACACCCGCGCTTGCCGGCGTGCTTGGTGTGAGCTCACGCCTGATGCTTTTAGGCTGCGAGCAGTGTGTCAGGAGTGCTGGCTGACAGTGGAGGGCTGGGCATTTTCCACAGTTTCTTCCATGCTCTGTCACACTGTCTGCGGGAAGAGACCAGGTCTGAGTGCTAATCAGCGTTTCCCATTCAAATTTCACCTGATTAAAGTGAAACAAAAACTCCAGTTCCTCAGTTGCCCTGGCTGCGTTTTAAATGCTGGGTAGCCCCTGTGGTGGCAGAAGCTGGTTGTTGTCCCTGTGTCCGGCTGAGCTGTGATTATTTGCAGGCTTCTACCTGCAGCCGCCTCCTGTCACCTCCTCCCCCATGTCCCGCCCTGCTGTGCCACGTTGCGTGCAGCGTGCCGGGTGCCGTGTGGTCTCTGCCATGTTCTAATGGTCCAGGCCGTGTGGCCATGTGGCTCTTGCAAGTTAGTGAACTTCTAAGCCTCAGTTTTCTCATCCCTAATGAGTTTCTCAACCCTGGTCCCGTCTTGAGCACTCTAGGAAAAGAACGCAAGTGTCCAGTCCTCGGTAACTGTTCGCTCAGCTGTCACCCCATCATCACCGTCATCCGCGTTCCCGTGTCTGTGTGATGCAAACCCAAGGGTGCCGAAGCGTGCGCAGATGGCACTTGTTGGAATGTAAGCAGGCGGAGAGGACAGGCAGAAGGTGCAGGTCATCACTAGCCAGCTTTGCATAACTCGGAAGTGGCGTTTGCTGCCGCGCAGCTTACGTGCCGCAGTGTGCGCTCCAGCGCTTTCTGTGCCTGGCGGACTTGCAGGCAGTCACTGCAGCAGAGCCCTGGGATGACCCCGCAGGAACCGGCGGAGGAATGGCCGCCTGTATTCGAATAGAGGGAAGCAAGAACCGAGCTGCAGGGTGTAGAAATAACTGTGGTGGAGGGGCTGGGGATTTAGCTCAGCAGCAAAGCGTCTGCCTGGCAAGCACAAGGTCGTGAGTTCGGTTCCCGGTACCGGAGAAAAACCAAAAAATAAATAAATAAATAACTGTGGTGGAAACGCATAGGCATCCTGGATGCGGGGCGACGAGAGACGTACAGAGGGGTGGAGGGCATGCAGGGGAGTCAGGGCTTACGGCCCCTGGGGGATGTAGGAGCAGACACCTGAGGGACGATGTGGCACTGCACACGGTGTGGGGGCACTGGATGCTTCTTCCCAAAAGGGGGGGCATGAGCATGAATAGGGATGGAGACGCAGCAGCTCCTGTGGAGAAGAGACCTCTGCCTGAGGCCCTGAACCCTAGGAGCGGAAGTTAAGAGGGGAGCCCTGGCCACGCTGCAGAACAGGCCGAACGCCGGGCCCAGGTGTTGACCTCTTTGAGCAGCCGTGGGGAGCCATGGAGGGTTGTAAACTTTCTGCTTGGTTCCACTGGAGCTTTCAAAGACAGGAATGCATTCCTGGGGTGGGGGAGGGAAGGTGGGATGAATAGCTGTGTTTGATCTTACAAAGAAACCGAATTTGTCAAGTGGTGTTTCTTCAGCAGAGAAAAGAAGAAAGTTAAGTACACAGGGCGCTGCTCCGCAGGTGTGAGGCCCTGTGCAGGCACTCTGCCGCCCCTCGGTCACCCGACCGCGTCGTCCTCCGGTGGGGCACGTACCGCAGAGAGGCCTGCGGGGCTCTTTAGGGGCGCACAGTCCCAGGGGTTCCTTTGCTCTTTTCTGTTTTACAAAGTAGGAAGCAGAGGTTTAATGGGATCCTTTATGATCTTCTCTCACCCTTCATTCATTCAGTTATCGCCTGCCTTTCGTTAGCTTTCCAAAATTAATAGCACGTTACCACCCCTCTTTGGTCCTGAGACGCACGCGAGTCACTCAGTCTCCGAGTGCGAAGCCGAGAACAGCACACTTACTTCCGTCGTGGGTGTGAGCAGTGTCCATGCACAGCCGACTGGGAAGCAGCAGATTAGCCCATTAACGTGAGGACAAGAGCTCCTGCAGTTCCCTCCGTGCTCTCCCGCCTGTCACTAGCCGTAGAATCGGCAGAACCTGCAGGGCTCTGGAATTTCCAGGACATAGGGACGGCCCCTGTCTTGTTTTCATAAGTGCCGCTTGCTTCCATATTAATGTCTTGAGATGGGACCTTCCTGAACAGAACTGAAGCGCCCATTCTTGGGCGTAGCATTGGTCCCATGGAAAGTGGTTAACTTCAGGGTAAGTCTCTGCCTAACTGGGATTTTAGAAGCAAAGAGAATGAGACTCTTCGTGGGATTTCTGCCAAAATGTCAGCGCTGGCCAGGCAGTCCCAGCAGTATGATCCTGAGAGTGTCCTCAGCTGGAGAAGCTTGGAGTCCCTTCTGCCCTCCCAACTCCACCCCTGGGGCTCAGCGGACCGTGGACGCTCAGGCCCCTCTCAGGATGGACTTGCCCGCCGTGTGTCCCTTGGCCGAGACTAGCTCTGCAGCCCTGCTGTCCCGTGGAACTCCCCTGAGCTCTTTTAGCCCTTGTGACTATCTCTGTTCTCACAACTGCCGGGTGTGCTCTACCCATCTGTGGGTCGGGTTTGTTTGCCAGTGTCATAAAGATGGGCCAAAGGCCTGGTGCAGGCCCTCCCTGGGTTCAGCTTTTGAAAGGACGGTGGCCTAGAAATCCATTACCTTCATGCCCTGATCGTGAAGAAGGTAGCCAGCAGTTCTGATACGAGTGCGGCTGAGAGACAGGCATGGAGGGAGGAAGGCAGGTGAAAACAGGACTCTTCCTGGACTTGCAGAAATTGGATGGCACCCAGAGTACAGCTGGAAATAGTCTGAGTTCCAGCGCAGAGCTGTGTTACAGCAGTAGGAATTGTACCTCAGTCCTGAACATAACAGCCTCTCCTTCTGTGGGAGTGAAGGAGACATTGAGGGAAGTGTAACTTCATAAGGAACTTCCTTCCTTCCTTCCTTCTTTTTTTCTTTTCTTTGAGGTACAGGGGATCGAGCCCAGGACTTTTGCAATGAGCTATGTCCCTGGTCCTCTTTAATTTTTTATTTTGAGGCAGGATCTAAGTCTCTGAGTTGCCCTGGCTGGACTTGCACTTGTGCACGTCCTGCCTCAGTCTGCCCGAGTGCACCATTATGCCCAGCTGGGAACATCTTCTAAAGAAGAAGGGAGCGCCCTTGTTTCTCAGGCAAGATGCAAAGGCCCGGAGCTGCTTGACCTCAGAGCTTTCTCTTCTTCCAGGATTTGGCTCTGGAAGAGGCTGCTCTGGAGGAGCTGACGCAGAAGGTCGCCCAGGAGCACAAAGCCCACAGGTGAGGCCGCAGGGGCAGCAGGAGCCTGCGTCTCCCCCGCCCGCCCTGGTCTGGTCAGCACGGGTCCTCCCTTCCGCCGTGCGGCTCTGCTCCGTTCTGTGCTGAGAAAGGAACAGGAGGGCTTGAGAACTGTGCTCTCCATCTCTCCCTCTCTCCTTTCTTTCTCTTCCTCCTCTCCCTCCTCCCCAGGAAGCCCACACAGACATGGTGCAGAGAACCTGCTCTCACATCTGGGAAGCCCAGCCTAAGGAGGCAGCGAGCTCTGGACTTCCGGCCCTTGTAGCTGTTTCGGGACAGTGAACAACAGATTTCTTTTCCACCCATCCTCAGAGAAACCCAGCCACTCTTCTCGGCTGCTCAGCTCCCAGAGTACCTTCAAACCATAATAAACCTTATTTAAAATCTTTTCTCTTTAAAAGAAAAAAATTGGAAACTTTTCCCAGTTGGGAAAAAATAACTTCTTTTCAAAACAAGCGGCATCCTTCGCAGGGATGTTTGTTTGGGGTGGCTCCAGAGTGTTTTAGGGCTGTGGCTCCGGGTGAAATGCTTTACCTTCCTCTCCTTCCCTTCGGGTGCAGGCCGGAATGTGTTAATGAGTTACCTACAGCACCCTGACCCTCACTGGGCCGCTAAACCCAGCCCTGGAATTTGCCGTCCGTGGGGAGGATCCTTTGTGGCCCTCATGGTTTCCTCTTTGCTGCTGTTCTGTTGCAGTGGAATCCTTCCCGCAGAGGCTGAGCTGATGTACATCAATGAAGTGGAGCCGCTGGATGGATTCGGGCAGGAGATCTTCCCTGTGAAGGTGAGGCGCCGGGCCCTGGCCTCGTTTGTCCGGCTCGGAACCATACAGCCATGCAAAGCCCGTGTAGGTGGTACTGGGCCAGAGGGGTCACCTTCCCACTACTACACAGCATGAGTTAGCAAGTCTACTCACTTTAGGTGAAGGAAACACTCTTAGCTGGGAGATTTTTGAGGTTTTCCACATCATCAGCAGAGTATCTCATTTGTGAGACAGTCATTTAGCTGGGTGTGGTGCTGCATGCCTGCAATCACAGCACTCTGGAAGGCTGAGGCAGGAGGATTACAAGTTTGAGCCTAGCCTGCTCAGCCTGAGCAACTTAGTAAGACCCTGTCTCAAAATAAAAAAGTAGGGCCAGGGGTGTAGCTCAGTGTGGAAGCCCTGGGGTCAGTCTCCAGCACTGTACACAGACACAAAAAAGACAACCATCTAAGTGAGTACTGTGCGCTACCCCACCCAGCACTTTGAAGGTACCAAGGATTCGGGCACCAAGGTCTGGCCTTAATCGAAAACGAGCCAGTGGCATCTGTTGAGAGAGACTCTAGCCAGGACTTCACACCTGGTGTTTGTCATTCCTCTTCTTAGACGGGACCCAGGAAGAAAGCTTTGTGAGCTGAAGTGAAACACTTGCGGTGTGTGGTTGCATTTCATCTCTCGCGCTCCTGGGAGCTCTCCATGTGGCTGTCCAGCCCGTGGGGACACTGCGCCTAGGAGACTGTGACACACCTTGCATCCTTCAGTCATCTGCAAAGCTGTGCCTATAGCGCAGGCTCATTGTCCTCTCACTGTTGACCAACTTTTCTCCGCAAAATGGAGTTTTATCAGAGATCTAAGAGACTGGCTTGTCCCAGCCTTTTGGGAGAGGCCTGGAATTTCATTCAGCGTGAACAGTTCACTCCAGATCGGCTCCACCGGCGGCTTTGTCAGCACCCTGTTCCCTGTCAGCTGTGGGCTTGCAGTTTGCCTTAATGAGAGCTGTCCGTGTGCATCAGGCAGAACCGAACCGGGTGGCCGCGGCTCATGCAGAGGCCGAGATGACTCCTCTGTAGACTCACTGAATTTTCTTTTGCTGCTCTAACGGCTGCCCTTTGTAGGGCTGTAACCCATTTCCTCCTGATAACGCCCCTCGAAGCATCTGCGTCACTCACATTGCAGCGGCCCATGAATAGTCAGGGTATTTCGGGGTCATTGAAAAATCAGTGGGCTTTTCTCCCTTTCTAGAAAAGTAGCTGCTCCGTGCCTGGGTGCTGGGGATCTTCTTGTGGCAGGGACTTGCTTATTTGCTTTGAATCATCCTGATGTATGGCGTTAGGGGCAGTTGCGGCAGCGTGGGCTCTGATCCCTGCCCGGTAGGTTCTGCACGGGACCCGGAGGGAGCTCTGGTGTCCTCCAAACCGACTTGTGGTCAGGCAGTGTAGCCTGGCAGCTCACTGGGCTCCCCGCGTGTCTGTCTGTGACTGAGGCGGCCACAGAAGGCCTGGTGACCCCAAGACGGTGGCAGGAGCAGCAGGACTGAGACAAGTCTGTGGGAGCAGGTGGGAAAGAATGCTGGGAAGGGCGGGGAGGCGGGCGTGGGCCCTTGGGTCACCGCAGTGCTCTGGACCTAATAAAGGAGAACACCTGACCCCACCTCACACTGTCCAGGGGGCAAGGATCCCTGTGCAGTGTGGGCTTTTTTTTAGTGGTCCCTAAAAACTGCTCAAGGCCAGGGGAGCCTCGGTGCACTTCCTGACAGCACCCCCCCCCACACACACACACACACACAGGGGAGGCTGCTGCCCGAGTCCCATGTCACTGAGCACGAGGACATGGGGAAGAGCTTCCGGGATGGCGAAGACAGGGCTGAGCCTCAGCAGGGCGGTTACATTTCCCTCCATCCCTCCTCCCTTCCTCCCTCCCTCCCTTCCATCCTTCCTTTCATCCATCCATCCGTGTACTCATCTTTCCCTTCTTCCTTTGTAGTAGTGGGGATTAAACCCAGGGCCTTTGCACTGAGCCGCATCCCCAGCCTTTCTGTGTTTGTATTCTGAGACAGGATCTCGCTGAGTCGCCCAGGCTGGCCTCGAACTTGCAGTCCTCGCGGGTGCTGCCATCACAGGTGTATGCCCCTGAATGCAACTAACTCCTTCAGTTCGGGCCGGTGCAGTGCCCTGGCGTCCAGGGTGGGGGCGCTGTGGTCGGCTTCTCTGGTTTTCCATCTCTCCACCCTGGGATCTGCTCCCCAGTACCCCATCCACAGCAGATTCCAAGGTGGCCCCACCGGCCAAGTGCCGGGAAAGTCTCCCCGGGGAGCATCCTCCCTGCTCCGCCTGTCCTCTTTCCTGCGTGGATCTTCCCATTGTGCAACTCACCTCTTCAGCTTCTGGTCATCACCCTGACGAGCTGCTCCCCTTTCTTGGATCTGTCTCCTGCCACATTCTCTGCTTTGCCACAGAAAGGCCTGGCAGCTTTCTGTCTCTTCTGGAAGCCTCCTGCTGTCCTGTAAGTGTTGGTGGCCGGAGAGAGGAGAGGTCACAGGGCCCCTCCGGGTTAGTGTCCAGGGAACACAGCCATCCTTCTGTCTTTGGTTGCCTTGTGCATGGCCCCGCTGTAGCCTGGAGAAAGCGGGGGCTGTGTGACAGTTTATCTGCTGGCTGTGGAGCCCTGTCCTGCTCTCAGACTCAAGCAGGAGACTGTAAACACTGCCTGGAACAGGGGACCAGGCTGATGTTGGGACAGCTGGGTTCCCCTGCGAGGGGCCAGCAGACCCTGCAATGATGGCCCCACCCGCCTGCACCCCCAGAGCTGCCCCAGCACACAGCTCCTGCTCTGGAGTGCAGAGGGACAGGTGGGCATCACTCGCAGGGGGACAGAGGCTGACACAGTGAGAACAAGGCGGTGGGAGATGGGGCTGTGGAGAGAAAACCCGATGCTACCCAGAAAGCCTCAGAAGCGGAAACATCGAAGTACCCTCCTTGGAGGAATGGGGTGCTTAGGAAAAAAACATTCAGAAAGTAAAGAAAAACTCCTGGGAATTGAAAATATGGTATCAGACATGGCAAACAGTGGACAAGTTAGGAAATAAAGCTGAAAACAACCCTCAAAACCTAAGGGGGAAAAAAAGTAAAAGAGGGGGCCAGGAAACGAAAGAACGGATTAGTGGACTCCTCCAGGAGGCCCGTCGGCTGAGTGGTGTGGCTCCTAAGGAGTGGACAGGGGAAACAGGCACAGAGTGGGGACCTCGCCCTGTGTGGGGGACACACGGGGTGCAGAGGTACACCTTGCTGCAGAGAGGAAATTGCTCTTCAGCGTTGCTGCGTGAATAATTTTTATTCCAAAAATGAAAACTTAGTATAAAAGTTAATAGATGCTTGTGAAAGAAAACCGCAGTGAGCTGCAGCTCCGAGACAATGCTAAGACTGTCCCCAGCCAACTTGGGAAACTTACACGATTGCTGTGTTGTGACAATAGGAGAAAAATACATACAGTGCTCTAAGATGTGCAGGGGTAAATGCCTGTCCTTGTCCCCAGACTGGTCTGCTCACTGCCCGGATGCATGCTGGATTTGCCCCAGTTATGGGGAGGAACACCGTGGGCTGCAGCCGGGCCCTGCAGGACCCTTGGTGACCCAAGGAGACATCGCAAATGCCTCAGCAAAATGTGTTGTTTAATGGACACGTGCAAGTTGTATACACACATGTATCCTGCACAGCGTGCTTTGAAATATGTGTAAATGTGTCGTGGCCAAATACAGCTGATTAGCATGTGTGTTATCACACACACTTAGCATTTCCCTGTGGTGAGACCACTTAAAATCTACACGGTCTCTGAAGAATACAGTCCATTGTTATTTCAGTCACTATAATAGGCAGTTGAGCTCCTAGATTTGCCCTTCCGTCTAAGTCAAATTGTGTATCTTTTGGTGACTATCAGGTCTTCTTGGTCACCAGCGTTCTTCTCCGCTTCGGTGGGCTCCACTTTTTTAGATCCTGCAGTTAAATAAGGTCTTGCAGTATTTGTCTCTCTGTGCCTGGCTTATTTCACTTAGTATAAAGTCTTCCAGGTTTATCTACGTTGATCTAACCACAGAAGGCTACGTGGGATTCCGTCGTGTGCACTGTATAGCCCACGCTTTCCTTACCCGTCACCCGTGGATGGATTCTCAGTCCTCCCCATAGCTTGGCTCTTGTGCACAGTGCATCCTTGAGCTTGGTGGTCAGAGGTCTCCCGTTGATCTTCCACAGGACAATCACGGAAACAGCATGCACCTTGGTATCTTCTTCATGGGGATTTTCGTGAGGAACAGAATCGGGAGACAAGCAGTGATATATCGGTAAGAGATACACAGGTTCTTTTTCCTTTTCCCCTTGAGAGACTAGACAATTGACCTGGCGGCGAAGTTATTCAGATGAGCAAAGAGGCAGACTGTGGTGCAGAGCTGAAGCTTTCCCAACTCTTCCCAGAGCCTTGAGGGTGGAGGGGGAGCCCTGCCTTCCCTCCTCACTCCACAAAGTGTGCTGTTGAACCGGCAACGTCAGGAGAGTGGGGTGCGGGCCCCGAGTGTGTTTGGAGCCAGCCCTGCAGCTAGTTACTGGCTGATTCGCTCTGACCAGTGATTAAATCCAGGTGGGTTTCTTCCCATCACCCTGTACCCCCTGCCTGACCACAGCACTAGAAGAGCGCCAACTAATTTTTTATGTTAACAAGCAAGGAGTATTGGTAAAAATGTCTCCTAAAATCAATCAGTTTATGTTCACACCTTAAAAGACTAAGCAGGGGTTGCTGTAATCCCAGCACTCTGGGAAGCTGAGGCAAGAGGATCACAAGTTGTAGGCCAGCCAGGGAAATGTAGTGAGACCTTGTCTCAAAACAAATAAAATTCCCTTCCTTCTGGGAGGGAATTGTGTCCAGATGGACGCTGCCTGGACCAGCGGTTACTGCCGGTCATTAGGAGACATTTTCCAGGTGGAAGTGTCCTGAGTGGCTTCTGTTTCCGTAGGTCCCCACCCTATCCTTATCTCTGATATTTTTCCCTTGCTGGTTCCATACAGACGTTATTGAAGCTAGAAAGGGCAGCTAGATCTTAGGACTTAAAAGGGCTTTGACTTTTGGACACATTCAGAATCAACTCCATGTATCTACAACAAAGTGTGAATCCGCTCAATAAAATAAATACATGCAGAGTTGTAGCCAGAAATTCTTGTGCCTGCTCAGACCTAGTCAGGTATTTCCCCTCATTGGTTACTTAGGATCAGATCAATGCTTTGGTTTCTCCTTGAGGCTGCGGAAGGAAAGCAGATGTGTCTTGTACAAAAGCTGTCGAGGTGAAACAGAAGGAAACAGTGATTTGAAATTGGGATGAGTGTAAGCCGCTTACAAGCTTGGCCCTGTGTATTAGCTTTCCTGTTGCTGGATACAGTGCTCAGCACCCACAGCTAAAGCTCATGGTTTCAGGGAATTCAGTCCATGGTTGGCTGACTCCAAGGAAGAACATGATGGCTGACGAAGATGCTTATTTCAGGGTAGCTGGGAGCAAAGCGGGAGAACAGCACTGGAGAAGAGGGGGCTTATTGCCAGATATAGTTAGACCCCAGTGTCACACCTCCATGACCCACCCAGACACACCGGAAGTGTGCTTTACCAAGTCCCCTGGGTGGCTTCAAAGCCAATTAAGCTGACACAGTGATGCTTAGCCACCACACCTGTTTCTTTCAGAACTGCCTCTGGGTTTTTTCATGCTCGTTGTGCCATGGGCAAAGTCATGGGGTAGGGTGAGCAGTGTCTCCAGAGTTTCGGCAGTTGGCTTAAAGCACCAGAGCTGTAGGAAAGCGCTGGTCTCTTTTTCCTCAAGACCCTCCTTGTGGAGCACGTAGCCATGAGTCTCTGCAGCTATAATCCAGGAGACCGCTCGGCTGAGCCCATGTATTAAACACATCTTGGTAGTGTTACCATGGAAAGATACCTGGCGGAACTCTGGAAACCTGGGTAAAGAACTCATCCGTCCCCAACCAAGAGAGTGGATGTGGCCATTTGTGTCTAAATTATCCCTGCTCTAAAGTAGAGGCAGCCCTGCTTTGGAGAGAGGAAGTAAGAAGAGCACTCTGTACAGAGGAGAGGCAGTACTGTTTCTTTTCAGGCCTCAGCAGGTGTTTGTTAAGGGCTCCATGCCACGTTCTTGGCTTGGTGCTAGGAGCACAGCCGGGAAGAAGCAGAGCCACTCCAGGGGAATGGGCTCTGTGGTCCAGTTGGGTCCGGCTAGCATCTCGTCACAGAACTGAGGGTGCATAGCCCGTGGAGGACTCCCCCAGGTGCTCCTCCTTGCATGTGGGTGGTGCGGAACGGCAAAGGGTTTCGTAGGGTTGACAGAACTGAGCCTGGAAAGAATCGTTCAGGCCGGGGTGGCAGGGGTGTGATGAGCGACAGACATGTGATAACTGGAATTCCAGGCGGAGGCACTGAGTGAACAGTAGGCTGTAGTCCCGGAGGGTCAGGAATTGGCCCCAAGTAGGTCTGGGGTGCAGCATGCAGACCTGGCATGCATGGCCCTGGGTTTGATCCCCAGCACCGATCCAAAATAATAAAAATAAAATTCAAGACAGGAATAAAGTCCATAGAGAATGAGGAGGAGCACCTTCTCTCCTCGTCAGCTGCTTACTGCAGCAGATCCCGTGTTAAACAAGGCTTCCCTGAAGACAGAGGAGGGAACTGTGGAACTGCATGTGCTCGGCTCACAAATGCAGAGGCACATGAAGCATCCCCGGGCACTTTGTTTGGGTTGGCACAGCCGCACCGCAGAGCACGTGGCAGCCCGCATCTGCATGGGTTCTTCAGTCCATAGGACTTTGTAATAATGTTCTGCTGCTCTGTTGTTAAAAAGCAGGGGGCGTGGGAATGCCTTGGAAGCTTGGAAATGCGGAGGAAGAAGAAGGCAGCAAATGTCCCTTGCACCTTTAACTCGTAGCTTGGGTTGTCCGTGTCCAGACATATTTTCCATAGAATGGTTACTTGTATAAATAGGTGCGTGTTGCATTCCCTTTAGTTTTCTCCTTTGAGAGAAGGAGTGTTTTTCAGCTGTTTTAGACAGCATCATAGTTTGACACAGCGGACCTCTCCCCAACTGGGTCCGGAATCCTTGGAGCAGTGCGTGGGCAAACCCAGTTGCATTTCCTCTGTGCCAGGTGGAACGATATCGGGACCATCACCCACAACAAGTCCACTATTCTGGTGGAGCTGGTCAGCAAGGAGGAGACGGCCCTCTTCCACATGGTGAGCTGGACAGGCGGCAGGGTAGGGCCCATGGACGGGGAGCTGTTTAATATCTTTTTCTTGTTCCCCTTGGCTTAAGGGAAGTGTACTGTGTTAAGAGATGCTTTTTAGTCCTTGCCCATTGCTGTATGGCTTGTTTCAGGGTGGTGCTGGTGAAATCCCTTGCTCAAATGCCTGGTTCCAAGCTGACTTTTGGTTCTCAAATCTGGGTGCCTGTGGCTGCCTTATTGCTGATCCCTTCTCGGTGTGCCAAGGCCCTGGCACTCTGTTTACGCCCTTGTCCAGAAACCCAGCTTGGGTTGCGTTGCCTTTCCCTTTGCTGGCCGAGCTGGATTTCGCTCCCATCACAGCCCGAGCTTCCCTGCAGACTAGAGCAGCTGTGGAATCCCTCTCCTTCCTCTTCTTC